GATAAATTAACCTAAGGATATTTAGTCCTGTTCTACTGATCTAATCCTTACAGAAAATGATTTCCCCCTTCATTGGTTTTATACATACCTTAAAAGAAACTTACCAAATTGCATATATACAACTACTCTCTGCAGACAGAAATGGAGGTCATTTTTAGGAGAAACGGGTCTCAAATGACAACACAGGCTTCTGGTCACATGCATATTACACACTCTTTACCCATAGTGAGAAGGTAGGTCATTCCTTGTTTCTTATTTATTCCCTGGTATAATCAAACCATACTATGAAATCATGTGATATGCTTCAGAGTTCCTGTCAGGACATGAAACCCGAGACAACGAGCAGCACAATAACCATTGTCAACAGGCAAACTCCAACAAAGTCTGGCTTTGCATTTGGTTTTATGTTGAGGGAAGCAGATTCGCTCTGGTTTTTAATAATTCATAAGAAAGAGAAATCACAATGTATTGAGTCAGCATCCACCTACAAAGAGTCCAAAAAATCCAAAGGTCTCCCCCACTCACCCTCTTGTTCCACCGACATTTTGAAAATAAAGGGAAAAAACAGAAAGAAAAAAGAGAATGCAAAGGAACACAGATATGATTTAAATAATTTCAAAGCCTTATTAAACATTACTGAGATTGCATTTGATCCATCAGGCTGACTTTCACTTCTCACCACTAAGACCTTGCAAGGAAACTGGACATGCATGGTTTTGCCTTCCAGGGTTGACTTAGAACTATAAGGGTGAGGTGTATATGAACATGGGTGTGCTTTAAGTCCATTTTATAAACACTGACACAGGACAATTTTTATCATTGGTAATAATCTTTGAGTCCAATCATGCAGAATAACAGGCATGTGCAAGTTAGGTCTTGTTGCAAGATAAACATGGCAAGGTGAACAGTTTAATGCTAGACAAGGGTTGGGAGATTTGTGTTCATTAGAATATACTGGCCATTGGTCCCACATAATCATAAGTTAGATACACAGGAGTCCACATACAAACAGAGGCCTTCCATTTCAACTTGACTGACCAAGGAAATGGGTCAGAGTGAACCATTTCAGACAAAGAACTCTCTAAGTGCCAAAACAAGTAACAAAATCTTATATTTTAGTCACATGGAAAATGACTAATATAATTATTTACATTGCAACTTGTTTGTTTGTTTTTACAGAAAGGAGTATCCCTGCTTGGTTTAATTTCATCTGTAGAAAATGTAGGACTCACAATTAAAATGTTGGGGGGAGCTTGTGGGTAGGGAGTGGGGTCCCTCTTCAGACCCAAAGTGATTGGGATCAAAGATTGCTGGGACAATATCATTCCTTTCTCTGAGCTGTAGAAGATAAATTCTTCAGCAAAGCAGGCTGACAACATTCTTTATGGAGCATAATGTTTTTAAGATTTCGATTGTCATATGTTAAGAGAATTAAAAGAAGTAGATTTTGTAGAATTTAGATTTTGTGATGACTATTTAAAATTTAAAAGTCAGTTTTGCTCATTTTTCCGCTGGCAGGTCATAAAAAGATTGATGGAGTCTCATCTCATCTATTCCACTTATTCCCTTTGTCAAGACCTATTTCTTGATCTACCAGTCAGCTACTATCAGTATCCTTAAGTAATATTTTCTTATCATGGTAGAAGATTGAACAAAAACTGTTGCCTTGGCTTTCAATTAAATAGCTTACTCCCATTGGAGGGAATCAGCCAGGACTGGGTCCACCTCAAGTATACATTCCTACAAAGCTCAGTCATCAGATTCTTGAAGATGCAAGATTATTAGCGGTTCTTATTCCACAAGAAGAAATTTGGTTGTAAGGCCAATGCATCTCTTTTTAAAAATGAACACACTGGCCAAAAAACAAATCGACACTTCAAAGTGGTGGTGGTTTTGCCAAGCTCTCCCAACAATTTAATTCCTGCATGCATATGGGCACACAGCTATCTCTCCTACAAAATACTACAGAACATATCATTAAGGATCACTGAGAAACCATCAGTCCTATAGAAATGAGCCAAGGTTAGGCCTCTCAGACTATCAACCTCACATTCCCAAATGAACCCCAACCACAGGCAGGAACTTCCTTCTCCCAGGAATATAGTTCCAGGTGACTTGACACTTTCAAGTCTGAAAAGCAAGAAAGTCCTTTGGAATTAACAGGTGACTCTATAGGAAATACTTATTTTTTAAAGAAAAGGCTCACCGTAGAACCTAATACATTCTGAGAATTTGATAATAACAGAATCACCTCCTGAAAATCTATATTATAATAAAGTGGACCCAAGATGGTGAAGGGCTGGTGAGCTTTTGAAATGATGATCCTCTGTGTTGTCTAATTACCTATTTGCTTTGATAACCTAGTACCATTAATCCTATAAGTAGGCAAGAAGCCAAAGTCTTCATTTGTACATGAGATTTCAATCTGAAGGATTTATTCCATTTTTTCTTGGCCGTAAGGGTGATGTGGCTAAAGGTGACTGGCACCCAAGGGCCATACAGCAGGAGAGATCAATCAGACTAGCAGAGTTTAGAGAAGGTGGGCATAGCAGGGGAGCATTGCCTTGTTCTTGTTTGGCTTAATCTGAGTAAAAAGAAATCACCACTTCTGCACCCATGAAAGATAGTCTGTCAAGCACTTCTAAGATGCTGGCTGGAGGGTTCCTTCTGGCTTTTAATATCATTTTGTGGCTGATGAAATTACCTTTGCGACTTACTTTCTTTCAAACAGTTGCCTGTTCCCTGCACTTAATCTCATGTGCTAGAAAGTCAGGCATAGAGAGGACACAGTCATAGCAAGAGAAAAATACAGAGAAAGGAGGTAAAGGATGAGGGAATCAGAGAACTTTTAAAAAGTGGAGGACGGGAAGTGTGACAGAGGAGAGAGAGAGAGAGAGCCCATGCGAATGCGGAGATACTTTAAAAATCAGGTCATCTGCAATATTAACCAAAAAGATTGGCAGCAAGAGAAAGAAGCTGGGCCACTTTCATTCCAGGGGACAAGCTGCACAAGCTAAATGTGTTTTTTTTCTCCCCATTTTAAACAAATGACCTCTTGTCACGCATCCTACTGTGAAGCAATCTCATAAACAGCAGCATTGCTCACATGGTGATGGTGGGGGTTGGCTCTATTGCTTGAAAGAGACAAAGCTTCCCTATTGTATTTAAGGCAGTTTTCAGAGCACAGCATTCTTGTTTGCCCTATTTTTGAAGGGATTCCATTCGCCAGTCACAGCCCACTCATCAACCTTCCGTCTCATGTGTTTCACTTCTTCAGGTGAAGTACCACCACCACGTCGGCGAGCACCAAAATGGTCAGAGTGCAAAGAGCTGTGACGGGCACTTCACCGAAGTGAATAAGAAGGGAAGCCTCCCCCCGGCTCCTGTTATTGCTGAGAAGTCTCCCTGGGATTGCCTTGTATATAACCAAGATGTTTCACAGTGCCTTCTCAAGTGCCCGGGAGAGCACTTTCATTTGATTTGAACTAAATTCAGGTGATTTTGCTAAACATTGACACAAATGCTTCATGGCTTTTGAGACAGACTCATATTGCTAAAGCTATTTAGCAGCAGTAACTTATGGGGAGAGTTATTGCTGTCACATCAACTGCAGTACAAAACTCAGATGATCAGCCCTTCTTGAATTGTCTGAATTTATGAAAATAAAAACATGAAACATCAGCCATAGTAAAGAGTCAGGGAAACCCCTGAGGAATAGTAATGTCTGTGGAAATCTTTTCCAATGCTGACCTGAGGATCACCCCTTTGTTTTGGGTTTGTTTGTTTTTAAGAAATTAATATATATATTAATTTATTCCAGAAGAGGAAACTAACATTTCTTAAAACCGTGCAGGGTATAAACCTGGGAAGTAGCACACTTATAGAAAACACAACCCACAGTCAGAAAATAGTCTATGTAGGTTCATTTCCTGTTAAGGACATCATCCAGAGGCAACTCCACTCTGCTCCAGGGAGGGATTTTTTTTACCATGGACTCTGTAACCCTGCCTCTCCACCTGCCATGCCCTTTCCAGTTGTGACACATAATTTATAAGTGACAAATGGGGTCTACTGTCTAAAACATGGATGTCGGTGTCTCCTAGTGTCTGGGTAATAATCTCCTCGAGGTCTTCCTCACCGCAATGCTATCCTCGAGTCTCTCCTACCTGCTTGCTGTCAGAGAAAAGACTGTCAGCTTTTCTTCCCACCTTCCTTCTAAAGGCCAAACCGTTTAGTACCTGGAAACTGTCACTCCCTCCCGCCCCCACACTGTACATAAGCATCACATATGTTCTTTCTACAAATTGGTATACAGGTGCCATTTAATCAGTTCAATTTTGGAAGCTACATCTTCAAGGGTCCAAGAGAGCTCACTCCCCCCGTATTTTCCCCCTTTACATTTTTCTTATAAGACATACAGCTTAATCAATTAACAAACTAAATAGCTTATATACTGGCAATATATTACAGATGGGTTTATGGCAGAGTAATAGATCACATGAAATGGACCATGTGGTACCCCAGTGCATGACATCTTGGTAGAGCCCTGAGGACACTGACAGTAGCGTCTCTAAGTAAGTAGTGCTGTATGAATACAGACACATGCGGATCTGTATCTACATCCATCTGTCTAGGCCAAAAGGAGCAGGTAGATGCAAGATAGAGACACACACATGCTGGATGGGGCCACTGCACACCTTGTCATGCCATTTGAAAGGGCAGTTACAGGTTGCTGGTTTTGCAGCCATTAAAATTACACTTTATGGAAAACGCTTTTCTAGTTGTGTTTGAGTTGATTTCTGTAGTAAGCATCATTGGAGGAAGACCAAAGCAAGAGCAACTAGAAGTTAAATATACATTTAGCTTAGCTGCAATACAGAACTCCGGAGAAGAAGCAGGCTGAAAGATTGGTTTCAATTTTAGGCTCGGATTCTCTCCCTTGCCATTTTCTTAGAGCTGTGTGTCTGCGTTTGTGTGTGTGCATGCGTGTCTGCGTGTGCGTGTGCATGTGTGTGTGTGTGTGTTCCATCGCATCATCTCCTGAAGAACGCTGGGTTTCGCAGGCAGGCGGCTAGTCACCTGCAACAACCCAGGGGTCCTGCTGAAGCTTCCAGGCTGCTGTCAGTGTCAGATGCCAGGGTCTGGTCGGTGGACATGGAGGAGATGTCATTGACGGACGAAGATGGAGGGAGACTCTCACTGCTGTTCACTGCTGCACCTGTGCTAAGAAAATGAAGACCAACATGACTAAATCTGGAACTCAACCCAACTTCATGTGACTCAAGATGCAGGCCTGGGCAAATACAAGAGGTGATGTTTAGTCCATCATTCATTCAACAAGCCTTTTAAGAACAACTAATCCAGGGGCATCTGGGTGGCTCAGTGGGTTAAGCCTCTGCCTTTGGCTCAGGTCATGATCCCAGGGTCCTGGGATTGAGCCCCGTGTCAGGCTCTCTGCTCAGAGGGGAACTTGCTTCCTCCTCTCTCTCTCTCTCTGCCTGCTTCTCTACCTACTTGTGATTTCTGTCAAATAAATAAAAAAAAATCTTAAAAAAAAAAAAAAAAAACTAATCCAGGGCACTGTTAGATGGTGAAAATCGAGACATAACAAGGCAGAGTCCCTAGTCACAAGTTATTTTACCTTGTAAACCACCTGTAATGCTCTTAAAAGAAAACAAAGGCAGGCAAACAAAAATACCCTACTAAAAAACCCCAGTCACCCCTCCCACCTCCATATAATTAGCCTGGGTTAGGCCAAAGCATTTGCATTTTTTTAGAAGCGCCTAGACGCTGTCTAGTCAAAGGTTGGGAAGATCACTGCCCTATTGAGAAGGAAGATGAGCAAGACTTTTTTTTTTTTTAAGATTTCATTTATTTATTTGACAGAGAAAGATCACAAGTAGGCAGAGAGGCAGGCAGAGGGGAGGGCAGGAATCAGACTCCCTGCTGAGCAGAGAGCCAGATGTGGGGCTCAATCCCAGGACCCTGAGATCATTACCTGAGCTGAAGGCAAAGGCTTTAGCCCACCGAGCCACCCAGGTGCCCCAAGCAAGACCTTTTAATAAAATGATCTGAACCTGGATGTTTTTAATGCAGGGCTTTATAAAACAAACACATGTAAGGGTCCTATTCCAAAAATATGGGCTGAGCAGAAATCAGAATTACTTGGAGACTACAGCTCTTGAAAAATGATGGCATATTAAGTAAACATTATTATAGTCATTAATGTGATATCAAACTTAAAATCCATACAGAAAAGCTAAGTAGAACTTTCAGTGAAAGTTACTATAAACCAAATACCAAATAATAATAATAATAATAATAATAATAATAGCAATAATAATAGAAGAAGAAGCCAGAGCACTTTTTTTTTTTTTTAAGTAGCCTCCATGCTAGAGCACACTTTTTGATTGTGTGTTTACTTTCTAGCAGGTTTGCTTACCTGGTGATCTACAAACAAAAATTCTGAATTATCAAATTAATTTGAAAAAGTATTTTATTTATCTGCTCTGTGGGAATATAAAGATTTTGAAACTCTGAGAAGAAACTTGCTCAGGGTAATCACTAATACTTGCTGAGTTATGTCTTTGAGAACTACAAAGGACAGATAAGCCAGAGGCATTATAAAATATAATTAACCATAACACCCTGGAAACAGTTTATTCTTCTCTTTATATATTCTTCATATGTAAGCAATACAGGTGGTAAAAAGCATGCTTTGTGAAATAGCTTGCAATTAAAAATATCTGTAGTATAAGTCATCTAATAAAATCAGAGATGAAGAATTCCCACTAAAATGTTCTCTCTTTTGAGCAAATATAGTGTGCAAAATACATCTGGTGAAAAAATAACAAATTAAAAATAAGTTACAGTAGTGTTATCATAAAGATCTAATAAGTCAGAAAAAAATCTATAAACTTCTATGACTCAACACCAGAAAGCAATCCAATTAAAAATATGGGCAGAGGACCTGAATAGACATTTTTCCAAAGAAGACATACAGATGGCCAGCAGACCTATGAAAAGATGTCCCACCTCATCAGAGAAATGCAAATTAAAACCACAAAGACACATCACCTGACCTTTGTGAGATTGGCCAGCATTAAAAACAAAAGAAGAAGAAAAAGAAGAAATAACAAGTGTTGATGAGAATGTGGAGAAAAATGAACCCTTATGTACTGTTGATGGGAATATAAATTGGTACAGCCACTGTGTAAAAATGCTATGGAGTTTCCTCAAAAAATTTAAAAGATAGAAAGACTATATAATCCAATAATTTCATTACTGAGTATTTACCCAAAGGAAACAACACTAATTTGAGAAGATATATGCACCCCTATGTTTATTACAATATTATTTACCATAGCCAAGATATGAAAGCAACCTATGTGTCCATTGATAGACAAATGGATAAGGAAGATGTGGTATTTATGTATACATCAGTATGGTATGGTATGGAAGTATGTGGTATTTACATATACTATATATAGTAGGTATATGTATTATATATGTATATATATAAAATATGGTATGTGTGGAAGATATGGTATTTATATATACATATGAAATATATGTAATGGAATATTTTACAGCCATTAAAAAGGATGAGATCATGCCATTTGGAACAACATGGATGGATTTAGAGGTTATTATACAAAGTGAAATAAGGCAGACTGAGAAAGACATACCATATGATTTCACTCATATGTGGAATCTAAAAAACAAAACAAGTGCATAAACAAACAAACAAAAAGCAAAATCAGACCTATAAACAGAGAACAAACTGATGGTTGCCAGAGGGCAGAAGGGTGGGAGGATGGGCAACATGGGTAAAGAGCAGTAGGAAATACAGGCTTCTAGTTATGGATTGAGTAAGTCACAGGAAAAGAGGCACAAGATAGGGAATATACTAAATAATAACGTAAGGTGACACGCAACACTTGTGGTGAACACAGCATAAAGTATAGAGAAGCGGAATCACTATGCTGTAAACCTAAAACTAATGTAACATTGTGTGTCAACTATACTCAAATTTAAAAAAAAAAAAAGATCTATGAAGTGGAGAGGTTAAAATAATTTCTTTGCTCTTTGGGTAGACATCTCTTCTGTATAGAAAAAATGTGATGAAAATGTGACAAAATGTGGAGAGGACCCATACACATAAGCTAAGAAAGATCATATGTATTTCGTAAGTATTTTAAAATTTTGTTTGTTGATTATAAACATATTTATATAAATTATGGGGAATCTGAAAGAATAAAAAAGACAATAGGCACTGATCCTCAAATAATAATAACTGCTAAACTTTGGGTATATGTCTCTCTAGTGTTTTTGCTATGAAGTTTTTCTAATTGTGATCATTTAGTATATATTATTTTGTATCCTGTTATTTTATATACAAAAAAGTTTATGCATTTTTCATGTTCTTTAAACACTAAAAAGTATGAATATCTCCTGATCTTAAATGTCTCTAGACTATTAAAGTTCTTGTTATCATCTTCCTGTAATAGTCTTATTATCAGAACAATGTGTAATGTAAAGGTTCCCTGGCTTCAATTTATTCCAACTTTACTTAATTGTATCCTTTATAGATATGGTGCAGAGCTAATTCATTTCTTCTCCTGACATATACTAGTAAATTTCATATACTGGGAGATAACCTTTGACTTCCTTACATAGCCCAAGTGTCCAGGTCTGTCCTCCACTCCACAATTTGGATTAAATTATACTGATACCAAAATCCCATGTGTTTTCATAAATTTTGGTAATAATTTAGCATCACTATGATTGACTGCTCAGAATCTTCAATTTTCCACATCCTTATTAGAGGGTAGAGATTAAAACTAGACACAAGTCTCAAACAATTGTGGGCTGACAGAATATGATGGCTTTTCTCATACATTCATTCATCTCTTGGATGACATATCCCCATACTATGCATGACTTTAAAATTATGATACTGGAATAAAATCTTAAAAAAAAAAACAAAAGTGAGGGGCACCTGGGTGGCTCAGTGGGTTAAAGCCTCTGCCTTCGGCTCAGGTCATGATCTCAGGGTCCTGGGATCGAGCCCTGCATCGGGACTCTCTGCTCGGCAGGGAGCCTGCTTCACTCTCTCTCTCTGCCTGCCTCTCTGCCTACTTGTGATCTCTCTCTCTGTCAAATAAATAAATAAAATCTTTAAAATTATGATACTGGAATGCCTAGGTGGCTCAGTTGGTTAAGGAACTGCCTTCAGCTCAGGTCACGATCCTGGAGTCCCTGATCAAGTCCCACATCAGACTCTCTGCTCAGGGGGGCATCTGCTTCTCCCTCTGACCCTACCTACTCTTGTGCTCTCTCTCTCATCCTCTCTCAAATAAATAAAATCTTTTAAAATATTAAAAAAATAAAATTATGATACTATCATTTAGATTTAGTTTTTACTTAAAATATGAAATATTGCCTATCTATCTTTTTTTAACAGCTTTATTGAGATGTAATTCACAAATTTAATTTGTATAATTCATTCATTTTTAGGATATTCACAAAGTTGTGCAACCATTATCATAATCAATTTTGTGAGATTTTCATCACCCAAACAGCATTCTATTTCTTACTTATCCACCAGCCATAGGCAATGACTAACCCACTTTCTGTCTATAAAGCTGCCTCTTCTGGGGGCGCCTGGCTGGCTCAGTGGGTTAAAGCTTCTGCCTTCGGCTCAGGTCATGATCTCAGGGTCCTGGAATTGAGCCCCGCATTGGGCTCTCTGCTCAGCGGGGAGTCTGCTTCCTTCTCTTTCTCTGCCTGCCTCTCTGCCTACCTGTGATCTCTGTCTGTCAAATAAATAAATGAAATCTTAAAAAAAAAAAAAAAGCTGCCTCTTCTGGACTTACTATATAAACGGAATCGTACATGATCTTTTGTGACTGGCTTCTTTCACATAGCACATTGTTTTCAAGGTTCATTCATGCCGTAGCATGTAGCAATACTTTATCCCTTTTTACTCCTGAATAATGTTCCACTGTATGTGTATCTCCCTTTTGTTTACCTATTTACTAGTTGATGGGTATTTGACAGATATTTAAGCTGTTATTATTTTTGGCTTTTATGAATAATGTTATGAACTTTCATATACAAGTTTTTCTTTCTCTTGGGTAAATACCGAAGAGTGGAGTCGGCAGATCGCAGAGTAGCTATGTTTCACATTTGAGGAATAAAGTGACTACACCAGTT